AGCTATGTATCTGATGGGGATTAACATTCAAAATATACCAGGAAATCAAACAACTCGGTAGCAAAACATCATAATCCTGTTAAAAATGGACAACAGACCTAAACAGACATTTCGCAAAAGAAGACATACAAATGGCCAGCAGGTATATAAAAAATGTTCAACATGATTAATCATCAGAGAAATGCAAATCAAACCCACAATGAGATATATCCTCATTGCAGTTAGAATGGATACTACAAATGATAAAAAGTAAAAAGAGCTGGTGAGGATATGTAAATACAGAATTCTTTGATCTGTTTATGGGAACACAAAAAGCACAGCCATTATGGAAAACAGAATGGAGGTTCTTCAAAAAATTAGAACCACTCCATTTGGTTTTAGAAATCTACCACTGGATGTACATCCAAAAGGAACTGGAACCAGTATGCTGGAGAGGCATCTGCACTTCCATGTTTACTGCAGCACTGTTCACAGACTCTAAGAGTCCATCAACTGATGAATGAACACAGAAAATGTGGTCCATATACACAATGGAACGCTATTCAGCAATGACAGTGTATAAAATCCCTTTGTGACACATGGATGAAACTTGGAGACATTCTGTTAAATTAAAGTCACAGACTACAAATACTGCATGATCCCTACTCAAAGGTGCAACCTTAACAAAAGAAGTTGATCTCATAAGAAGTGTAGAGTAGAATGGTGGTTAATTACCAGAGGCCAAGGAAAGTATGAAAGTAAAAACAGCAGGGAAAGGTTGGCCAATGGGTACCAAGTAATAGATGAGTAAGTTATGGTGTTCTATTGCATCTGAAAGTGTCTGTAAACAATGGCATGTACTTGTGTTAGTCACTTTTCTTCTCACTGAAACACAATACCTGACACTCATAACTTAAGAGAGGTTTATTTTGGCTCACATTTTTGTCTGGGAACAAAGAAGCAAAAGCATGCCGGAGGAAAACAGCCACTCACATCATGACGGACAGGAAACAGAGTGAAAGGAGCCAGGAAGGGAGCTACATCCTTCCAACTTACACCTCCAGTGACCCGCCTCTTGCAACCAGACCCAAACTTCTAACAAGGAGTCACCTAGAGTACCCATATGATCCACCTTCCAAAATCTCTGCCTATGCACACATGAGGTTCTTAGGGAATATTTGGATATAAGCCATAATTGCCCTGCATATTTTTTAAAAAGCTGCAGAAAATGTTTTGAATGTTTTCACCACAAAGATATTATAAATGTTTTAGGAGATACGGTTACCCCAATTTGTACATTATATGATGTATGTATTTATTAACATTACATGGTACCCTATAAATTAATATAATTGCTGTGGCTCAAGCGAAACAATGAAATAGAAAATAAATTTTAAAATCTAGAAGCATAATCAAGAAATTGGTGATTCCCCCTCCCAAAGAAATCCGTTTAAAAATTATTGAGTTGCAAGTTTATTGGTACCTTTTAGTAGTGATTTGATTTCACTAATGTGTAAATCTTAACAAATGAAGTCTTAGAGATAATTATTTAAAAACTTGCTCTAGGGACACATAGCACCATCTCAAACCATGGGAATGACTCAAATGGTTGAGGGAATCTAAACCAGATGGGCTTAGTGGATTTGCAGATTACTGTGAAACTGTACAGCCTGCAGAGTTCTCCAGTGGAGCAAACATTCTCTCCAGAAGATTATTGAAACTGCTCAAAAATGTATGTCTTGGTCTACTTTTGTGCTGAATTTAAGTGGTAGTTGATCAGAGGATAATTCCATAGCCATCAAAAATGGGAAACATAAGACATGACTGTTTATATCCAAGTAATGAGGAATTATTATGCTTTTCCCTCTTTTTGCTCATTAGTCATGTCAAATGTTTTTTAAAGTTCATTTCAGAAATCACTGCTACAATTGCGAAATTAGTAGTCAATTCAAAAGCTGAGACATCCTCTCCAAAATGATGCCTTCAAAATGTCATTGCAATTTTAGGCACTGGAATTTTTGTTTTGTTTTGTTTTGTTTTTCTCTTCAGATTATTGATATTCTTTTGTTCCTTTCCCAATCCTTGACTTGTGAAACACTCTTATGTGGAAACAATGTAATTTATGTATTATTAAAAGGAATATTAAACTACTTCTAAGAAAATAATTATACCAATTATTTTAATATTTTATAAACCAGGAAATTGAATTATAAGTATTTTAACATCTACTGGAACAATTTTGCCTACATTTTATTAGGAATTGCTGAAGGCAGGAAACTGGCTGTTAGTAAAAGTTAAAGCAGGTCCTGAGGCTGAGACATTGTGAATAGATATTGGGGTGTAAGGCCTTAGGTTAAGTAAAGAAATAAAAACAGTGACCACTGATGCAATATAATCCCCTCCCCTTGCTTGAAAGGTGTCTGTGAAGGAGAGAGAGTTATTAGAGGTGAAGAGAAATTGTAGCATGTTCTAGTACATTCTGCATAAGATCATTACGGGTGGATGTGGGTATAATCTTAAAATCATAGAATTGTATTCATAAGAAGATAATTTAAATTACTGACCAGGAAATACGTATAATTTACTTTTTGTGGTGAGCGTTATGTCCGATTGGACAAATACAATACTTTCTTTATGTCTCTGGAACCATCTGGATAAGTGTGGCAGTGAAACACTCTTGCTCTTTGTGATAGTCACTGTTTCTGTAGTCTTTACTACCTGCCCACTAGGAGAGGTCTTTATTTTTAAAAATTGTTTATTGGTAAAATTTAGATATACATAATGGTCACATTCATCATAGGGAATTTGTAACTGTATATGATAAATCTTGATTCCTCTTTTTTTCCCAAACCCCTCTTTTCCCTTCAACCCCTCTTCTCCTGCTTATTTACAAATCTTTGTTTTCATTTTATCCTACCTTTATTGTTTTTTTCTTTTCTCTGCCTTCCTTTCCCCGTCTCTAGTTCCTTTTTCCTTTTGAACAATTTCTTCCAATTTCATAATATCTATTGTATATTTTGGTCCTTACTTAGTCTTTCCATTTCATAGCCGCCATTTTATTTCAAAGAGACATCTTTATTAATATGCCAGATCCTTGGACCAATCAGCCTGAGAATTAAGCCTCACTCCTCACAACCTCTAGTTCTTAGGGATATTTTAAACTCACAATTTGATGTCTTACCTTGCCCTTTTGTTGTCTTTAGTGGGATTTTGGTATGAGGAAAGGCTGAGGTCACAATGATAAACCCATCGCTTTCTCCTGTTTGGCTGAGGTAAACTGGTTTTAAAGAAATTCCTTTTTAGGAGCCACTTTCTAAATTTTATATAATTCTTTTAAAGGATCTTAAACATTTTAAATTTCAATTTAACAATGCCATCAAAGTACATTCTTTTTAGGTCTTAAAGATTTATTGTTGTGAAATTCTTATCACGTTACATATAACAAGATGCAGATTTTAATCTTTTATTTTCTTTCTATATATAACTTTAGAGGTGTTCGATAGTAACTTCCTAATATCATTACTAATATTAGTTAAGGTATAGCACATGTTCAGTATACCTTATCCAAAATGTTGGAAACCAGAAGTGGTTTAGAGTTTGGAGTTGCTTGGACCTTGGAATATCTGAATGAAATGTACACATTGAGCATTTCTATTTTTTAAAAACAGTCTCACTGTTTAGTCCAGGCTGATTTTGAACTCACTGTGTATCCCAGGCTGGCCTCAAACTCATGGCAATCTTTCTACCTTAGCTTCCCAAATACTGGGAACACACTGAACATTTCTGAAAATCCAAAATCCAAAAATGCTCCTAAATCTAAAACTGTTTGAAAACTTTCAGGTATTGGAGCATTTTAGATTTCAAATTCTTTGGAAGAGGGATGCTCAGCCTATATCTGTGATGCCCTGGCACAGAGCCATTTCATTTGTATTTATTCCATGTCAGTTCTGAACTTCTGTCTACCAGCCTGCTGGGCTGCTATATCAAGGTAAGTGCCTTTTGACTGTGCTTAGAAGCATTTTTCAAAAAGCTTTATTTTCTCTGTCCACCCTACTGTGAATGATCTTGATTCATTTGATTTGCACAGAGTGGTATTTTAGGAAAAAGGTTTCTAACCTGAGATATGTTCTTCTAGTCGAGACAGATACCTGGCTTGTAGAGGGGGTTGTTTTAGAAGGCAAGCACTGGCCCCTGTGCCAGGGAAGCTGAGGTTTTCTCTGAATGCAGTATCAGAAGCTGTTCACTCAGGAGTGTGAAGACACGTGGGTGAGGGATTAATAAGGATAAAGTTCTGGGGAGAGTTTGGTTTGACAGAAACGTCAGAGTGGAAAGACAAAATGGATGAGGTTTGTGTGAGATGAGTGGAGGCAAACATTTGTTTTCTTACAAAACGATGAATTTGTGTGTGCGATGGCTCAAAGAACAGGAGCTGGGTCAGAGCAAAGGTCTCTGGGAAGTAAAGCCTTGGGAAGACAGCAAACACTTTGAAATGGAGGAGTTGGATTTCAGCTTCACTTTTGCTTGTGTGTGTGTGTGTGTGTGTGTGTGTGTGTGTGATTTTGGTCATTACTTCAAGGCGTGCATTTTTAAAAGGAGCACAGGAATATCTCTGTGGTGGGCTTCACGTGAAGACCAAGGGCTTGGCATGAGGTAGGTGCTCAGCCAACTCCAACTTCATTCTTCCTGTTATGTCAACAATTTCATCCACAGAGTGTTATAGTGTGCACACGTTGGGAAACTTCTGTCTATTCTGCATGCTTGGCTTTCTGGTACCACTGTGCCTCAGTAAATGCCTTCTGTGTATTTCTGAGTCTCAAGTAACACTCTGCTCCCATTATCCAGTAAAAGCTCCGTCAGTGCTTCCACATCAAGTTACCAGAAGTCTGGTTGTTTACTGACTGCTGTCAAAACCGTCCCAACTTGTGTTTAGTCTCCTCACGGCCACAGTGTCCATCCAGTGGAATGCAGGGGAGTAGGCGTTGCATGGGATATCAGCCTTTACTATTGGACATAGTAGAGTGTGGAGATAGGGCAAAGGAACCCAAGAATATAAGCTGTCATCTGCTTTTGAGACCCACCTTTTGTTATTTCTCCTTTTCACCTAGAAAATGGAATGCAGAACATGATATGTTTGAAGATGTTTTTGCTGTTTGGTTCAAAGAAGTAGCTTACACTTGCTTCTAAGTAGCTTGTTAATCTAGAATGAAGCAGATTTCTACCTCAGAAAACCAAGCCCAGAAAGGCTGGAGATGGTGAGTGTTTATAAAAAGCACTGTGGACATAATGGAAGGATTTTATAAGGAGGTCTGGGGAAGGGAGGTGTTTTGATATGGCTATTGGAGGCAATGTGGGTTGGAAATAAATCACGTTCCCCCACTTGGATGAGAGAACAGTCTGTTAAATATTTAGAGGATTTCCTTCACATTTAGGGCATGTTTGTAATGGCAAAGTCTTTTTTTAAGCTATCAGTAACTTGAGGTCAAATTTGGCCTAGTAGATGGTATGTCCAAGGAACAGGTGTATTGTTGGGTCTTTTCTTGACTATATTTGTTTTCAAGTTTTAAGTTTCTTGTATTGCTTGGAAAGAAGACTAGAAAACTGCGTGTTTGAAAGCTATGGACAGTCTATGCTCTAACTCAGCTCTAGCTTCCCATAAGTGGGGAGGGGGAGTTAGTGAGATAGTTTTACTCTTTCTTGTTTCTCTTTGGTAATTATTTCACTTTTATAAAATGGAAGAAGAGAACTGAGTCTGAATAATTTACAGTGAATAACTATAGCGCACAGTGAATAATTATCAGGACAAAATCTGAGTGACCAGAAAACTAGCAGAACATAAGGGATGACACTGCAATACCTGTGAGTGTCATTTGCAATCTTCTAGAAATCTGAGGATCCTTCTGAGTGCCAACAAATTACAGTTGGCTGGTAAGTCCTGAAAACCGAGCTCGCACACAGAAGCTTCCGTGTGTCACACTCCAGTTTCTCTAATCCTGCACTTAATCCCTCCTATAATCTCCTCTTCATTTGCTTCATGGCTAGGTTATACTTTCAGGAAAAGTGCCTCATGCAAGGTTAGTGTGGAAGAGATTTGCTGTGTTCACTAAACCCCTATTTCTTCTGGGGCACTCATCTAAAATATCTTTCCCAGCCACCAACTTCTAGGTGGTACTGTGAGGTGCTGCTGGTGGAAATGACACAGGGCTCTTGAGGGTGAAAAGGTGCTGTTCTCTTCAATGTACCTTCTTTCCTCCCCATTCTTTGCAGGTGGGTGATGCCAAAGTAAACTCACAGTGAAGACCGAGTAAGACACACGTAGCACAAGAGAGGCTCAAATCCCTGAGTCACCATGGGAAGAGACTCAGCCAATCAAGGCTTTGAACTTTGCACAGTGAGAGAAAAATGTCTATTGTGTCAGGTTACTTGGAATGAGGGGTTGTGACTTAGAGCAGTGCGTTTATCTTGCCTCGTACATTAAGCCACGCATGCCGTTCTCTTTGTGAACATTCATTATTCATCAGTTCATCTTTAAAGCAGGTGACTCATAGTTCACTTAACATGAGGAAAGTTGTGAAACTATTTGATTGTTAGGAATCACAAAGCCCCTTTTGTTCCTGGGTGCTTGATTTAGTTTCTTCTGAGATTGCTGGATTAGTCAGTAGTTGTGGAAGCCACTGTATGAGGTTCAGCATAATCCATCTTGGCAGGAAGGAAATGAGGTAGCTTAGATTTTCATTTCAGGTACTGTGATGTCCAGCGTTTTGTGCTCTGCTGACAGGTACAGCATAAAGGGTTTATTGTCAGCGATGGCGAACATGTTGAAGTTTATGAATTTTTAAAGTTTTGTTTGAAATAATTACAGACTGAGAAAATTGCAAAAAAATGTACAGAAAATTTCCATGGGCCCCACCTCACCTTTCCCCGCGTTGACATTTTGTTCAATTATAAAACAAAGTCAAAATTGCAAAATTGACATTGGGCACAATCTACAGAACTAATTTAATTTTGCCAGTTAAGCATGCACTCTTTTTTTCTGTGTTGGGGTTACATGGGTTTCAATTATATGTAGCTTCAAGAAACTACCATTCATGATCAAGATGCAGTGTTGTGCTATCCCAAAAGACTTTCTCATGTTAATCCTTTATAGTTACACCTGCAACCTAACACCTACCCCCAGCTCTTAATATGCCCTTTATCTCTCTTTGTGATTTTGAGAATATTGCATATAATTGGAATCAAAGTATTCGATATTTTGGGACTGACTTTTGCCATTCAGCATCCTTCCCTTGAGTCTGTAATAGTCAGGGTTCTTCAGGTAAACAGAACAGATATAAGAAGAGATAGAATGAAAGATTTATTGTGAGTGACTGGCTCATGTTATTTCAGATGCCGAGAAACCCCACAGTCTGCTGCGTGTAAGGAGGAGCCTAGGGAAAGCTGGTGGTGTAGTTCTAACTCAAACGGGATGGTCTGAGAACCACTGAAGTGGGTGGCAAAAGTCTGAGACTGAATCTAAAGATCCAAAATCAAGAAGCCTCAGTGCCCAAGCACAGAAGGAAATGAGTGCCTCACATCAAGCAGAGATAAAGAATTCACCCTTTTCTGTCTTTTTGTTATTCAGGTCCTTGTCAGATTAGCTGTCTTTTCACACCAGTGAGAGATGAATCCTCTTTACTTATCTACCAATTCAAGTACTAATCTTCCAGAACTACATCATGGATGCTCCCAGAAATAATGTTTTCCTTTTATCTTTTTATCAATCTATGCATTCCTCAGCCCAGGCCAGTTAAGACTTAAAATTAACCATTAAAATTTCAGGCATTGCCACTTTGAACCCATAAACTTCTCCTTAAACCAATAATATTCTCCAAATAAAGACAATAAGGCCATAATTCTACCTAATAGGATACAATTATCCTGTGTACAACAAAAATACACTTAACTCTTCCCCACAAAGAATGCTATAATGTTTTAGTGATGATTATATTTTATCTTGATAGCCTATTAAATACATTTTATTATGTAAAATTAAAATACTGTTATAAAGTAAAAATACATCTTTTGAGTACATACACAAAAATGAGAGAAACCAAAAATATTCATCAAAACAAGGGGTTCTCATGTCCTTGTTTCTGTGAGAGGCCATGAGGTCATAGTCTATGGATAGTCTGTATTCCCTATGCCTTCTGCAAGCACCTCAGCTGGTCACAGTTATTTATTGGGTGGAGTAATCCTAACTTGCATTCATGGAGGGCCTGGCCATTAACAAACCTCTCTGTTTGGGTTGTTATATTTTCCCAATGTCTTTAATCACAGGGTATGGTATTACTAACAGATGTGCTAACAGATCTCTTATATTCCAGAAAGATTCTTCATTACCCCATTGTAGAATTACAGTTCAATCTCTCCTGTGTAATTTGGATCAATAATGCCAGATAACAGTATAACTCCCTTCTTTTCCTGTTGACTTAGAGGTCAACCAAAGGGACAAGGTGGCAGTCTTATCTGCAACTTCAGTGGAATCATGTATCTCTTGGCGGAAGCATTTGTCCCTCTGGTACTAAGACCCCTAGGCCAGTGGAACATACAGTTGAAGGAACAGGAAGCAAACATTCTGGTACTAGAGAATGATGCCACCCCCACTTCCACCTCTTGGTTCCTGGACCCTTGAGTCCCAGCTGTGAGAGACAGTGCTATATACTGGATGCTGATTCAGAGCATGTACCACCTCTTGATGAACCTGATCCCAGCCCTACAAAGGATTGCCATCTAGCTAAGTCTTTGAAAGGCCATTCTACTGTTCTATAGAGCAGCTGCTTCAGGATGATAAGGACCACACTAAAATCCATGAACTCTGAGCATGGCCCAGTGTGGCAGTCCTATTGCTATGAAGTAAGTTCCTTGGTCAGGGGGGCAATGCTGTGTGGAATATCATGATGCTAGATAAGCCATTCTGTAAGTTCACGGATGAGCATTTTGGCAGAGGCATTGCATGAAGGAAGGCAAATCCATATTCAGAGTAAATAACTGTTCTAATCAATATGAAATGCTGCCTGTTTTATGATGCAAATTTATCATCAGCTTGCTGAGTGATTACTCCAAGATGTGGGAGAGTTTTTAGAATTTTGGAGTACATCTGACATCTGTGCCATCATCCACAGATAACTACTCTACTTTTGAGCTAAGCAAACAGATCTTGACCCATTCGTGGATGTTGGTAGATACTGAATACTTGACCATTGGCTGCCAAATTATCAAGTGACCTGGGCAGGTCATCAGGCACTGAGTGTTGTCTGACCCACTAAGCCATGAGGTTGGGCATGCACAGTGTATTGTATCATCAAATGGAAGTAGTATACAGATAATCGGGCCTGAGCATCTATGGTTCCAAACAGAAGTCTTATTTTCCCCCAGGCACTGCACCTGCACAGTGGGCTGGACCTGTTGCAGATCTTTCTTCTGTTCTAGACCCTACTCAAAACTTGGGATTGTCCTAGTCACTCTGTCAATGGTCCAGAGCAACTCCCAAAAAAGGAATATGGTGGATCCAAAATCCAAAGAGGTCCATCAGGAACTGTACCTTTTTCCTGGCTGTTTGAGGAATTTGATTTCTTGTTTGTGGTAAGGAAACTTAAAATCTATTCTTTTAGCAATTCCCAAGGATGAAATTCATTCTTTTTTTATTTTAAAGAGAGTAATAAATGAGAAACAAAGAAATAGAACAGTAGCAGCATACCAGTATCACAAACATAAACAAATCAAAGCAAGAACATTCAAAGGGATATAGTCTCAAGACAAAATAATACAAATCAGCAGTAGTTGTTACATTACATATTGCTATCCTCAACTACATTGCTCAGATTACCAGATGTAAGAACAAAAGATTGCTCCAACCTTTATAAGGAATAAGAAAATAATACTTTGATAAAACAGTAGAGATAATACAGAGTTTCACTAGACAAGATGGTAGGAGTTCACCACTGTAATTCCATTGCATATTGTTACCTTCAGATCAGTTGCTCAGACCACCAGACAGAAGCATGCACAATTGATCAGAACATAAAAAATTGTAATCATTAACTGTTCATTTTAATACACCATCAGACATCAGCAATACAGTTATTGCAGCTATTCATATATATATTTATATTTTGTGTTCCTTCTTTCTTTTTTCATTCTTATTAACTACTCATCATGTTGCATAATGGATCTCTGTCTTGGTTACTTTCCTCTTGCGGCTGGGACAAAATACTTA